TACAAATAAATCAACCAATAAAAATAAATTCTGCAAAATATTAATGGTCATAACACATTCAATTTTACATAAAAACTAAAAAAAATCTTATAATATGGAACAAAATAAAAACCCTAAAATATCTTATATTTTGGGACACATAGAGTAGTAATTAACAAATAATTTTCTTAAATAAACCCACACAAGTATATCGTATTTAACAATTGTAGAGATCCCATTAATCTATTCGTATAGATATTAGTTACTGGGATAATTGTTTTAAAGCATATAAGTCTATATTGTAGTATTGTCATAATGTCACCAAAATTGTATTGGAGCTATCCAATTCAAATCTACATAATACATAATGGAACAAAAAAATTGATACTTAGATCTTTAAATCTTATGTTCTCATTATATTTGAAATTGTAATATGAAATTGGAATCATATATAGTTTTTTTTTTTGATAATCGGCGGATGTTTGAGTTTTTACTACCCTACTAATCCTCCAACATAAATGTAGCCGCCAAGTAATCCATTCACCAAGTTTTTTAATGGACCTAAAGCGTGACACCATTTCGACTGACCAAATGGAGGTAAAAGTGTTTTCAGAAAAATCGAACTCAAATTGGAAGGATTTACCTCATTTTCCTGATCCGTTTACCGCTAGGCCACCACCACTTGGTTAATCATATCATATATAGTTGCTTTTATCGGTTAAATGTTTATCAATTATTCTAATCTAAGTAGATTAAAATGTGCTTAGCTGTGATGGAATTTGTTTCATCCTATTTCTGAAAATAGTTGAAATAATTTTTTCAAAGTTTACTCATTATGGATATTATTGGTCGACTTTTATTGGTCCAAACGCATGTGGTTACGTTATGGATTTGTTTAGCCATTCCATTTTGTTTGCCTCGGAGAGATAAGTACCAAATTATTCCTCTCCCCTAGGTCTAGTGGTTTTTACAGGGGCTAATGTTGTTAATTTGTTTACAGTAGTAACTTTTTTTCGTTCTGCCACCAGCTAGGTGAAGACCCCACATTGCACGCATATTAATTTAAGTATTTGTTGAATTTATTGTTCTTGGTTTATTTTTATTTTTGGGTCATCATCTGAATATTGTTCTTGGTTTATAATCACATTGAAAGCAAACAAATATTTTAAATATAATCTTAAAATTATAACTATTCTATACAATTTTCTTCGATAGAATTGGTTAAAGTTTGTTCTCATCATAGTGAGTACAACTTTGGATAAGAAAAATGTACACTTGGAATTTTGTGTGTGTTGAAGAATAAAGCCCAATACGTTTGGGTCTGCGATTCAGATTGAGATCACATTCGTTGAAGTTTTCGTTTAGGAATAAGTCTTCCTCTTTTACAGGAGATAGAATAGCTCTTTAAGTTTTAAAGGTTATGCAGCNTAGATTTCTATTTTTTAGTTGTAAGGTCTTTATATACGACCAAAATCAAGTACTTCAAATACATCACTTTTCAGTGCATTGTCTCTTGGAATGCTCTGTTTTCTGAAGTTTAATACTCTGTTTTTTCGTTAACTTGCTGAGAAAGATAACAA